TGGTAAGACGTGACCGCCTGGCGATCGATATTGCTATGCGCACATCTCGCCACGCGCTCGAATTGGGCGGTAGGCCGGCCTAAGATAACGATTTTTAATAATTAATTACTCGTTAACTATTACGAAAATTTCAAAATGGTACAGGACTTTTCCGTTCATCTCGATCCGTTCTACCTTCTCAAAAATTTTGTCGGATATGGAAAGACTCATCCTGTATAAACTTACATTTATACAGGGTGTACTAAAACCACCGGATGTCCTTTTAATCATAAATTCTTTAGAAACTTTCAAGACAAAAATTCTAATACAAAAATGTCGAGGCTATAATAGTTTTTAAATAATAAGCGATTACATTTCACAAATGACAGGCCTGAGATTTCGCGCGCTCAGGTACGGCGACACGACAAGTGATAAAAGTGTTCCTACGAATATCGCCCTTTTTAGCATCGTGAAAACTTTCATGGCAACTGACAGTGATCGACCACTTTGACAGCTGCAACACTTTGAAGTTACAAAATGTTGCAAATTTTGACTTGAATTGAATAAAAAGGGCGACATTCATAGTAACATTTTTATCACTCGTCATGTCGCCGTGCCTGAGCGCGCGAAATCTCAGGCTTGTCATTTGTGAAATATAATCGCTTATTATTTAAAAGCTATCATAGCCTCGACATTTTTTTATTAGAATTTTCCTCTTAAAATTTTCTAAGAAATCTGCGATTAAAAGGATATCCGGTGATTTTAGTACACCTTGTATAAGTTACTCTTGTCTCAATATAGTAAGTCAATCTTTTTTAATTCGATAGAGGAGAATAAGAATTATCGGTTTTATTTTGATGTCGTCTTATTAAATGAGGTTGTGAGAAATATAAATGCGTCACGAATATTTTTTGTCTCGCTAACAGAAATTCCTTTCTGAGGGCGTGAGATTCACCGCAACGACAGCCTCTCCGGATCAGATCCTGAAGTTCATCTTGTGATTCATACTGGACGATGACTGTGCACTTGGATATTTTTATTGACGCACTCATAGAAGCGGAAACGAGACTGGAAATGTAATATGAATTAGGTAGTAAAGCAAGATAATATAAGTAATATAATATAATGTAAAACAAAGTGGTATAATGTAAGGCAGATAAGTTAAGCAGACATTGTACTTTAGATAAGAGGCGAATTATACGGGTATAACCGGTAGTTTCTTCGCCAGTCATAAATTACGGGACAAGTAATATTAACAATGTGGCGATGCTTATTGTCGCCGGTAATGAATAAAAATAAGTCGCAAGCTCACACTGATAGAAAAAAAATAGCTGCAGTTACTACAATCTCACTATAATATATAGTCATTTTAGGAGCCAACCATATTTTTATAATTCTTCCAACTACGTAAGTTATGGCTGACCTAACAATGTGTTAGGTTACCATGTGGTTGTTATTGCAATATTTATAGTACACCTTACTAAATTGAAAGCTCGTTTTGGTTTACGATAACCATATCATAAGTTGCATGGACCAATATTGTGTCTATGAGAACTGTAACACATTGTTAGGTCAGCCATAACTTACGTAGTTGGAAGAATTATAAAAACGTGGTTGGCTTCTAAAATGACTATAAATTATAGTGAGATTGTGGCAACTGCAACCGTTTTTATTCTATCAGTGCACTAGTGCAAGCAACCGAATTCACTATAAGTATAATTACTAATAAAATGTATCGTAAAATTTCAGAAAACTCTCATAAAATTCCTCGAAATGCCGCGTTGTCTCACAACTACGTGAGTTTCAGGATAAATTTTAAGAAAAAAATTATATCCCTGTATAGAAAAAATCGACTCGCTATTTAATGTCCCGTAACACTACACGGAGAGAATTTTCTTTTAAGATTTATCTTGAAAATCAAGTAATTGTGGGACAACGTGGCATTTTGAAGAACTTTGAGAGTGTTTTGAAATTTTACCATACATTTTACTAGTAAAAAGTATAGTAAAATTTAAAGAAACTAATAAAATTCTTCGAAATGCCGTGTTGTCCCGCGATTACATGATTTTCAGGATAAATTTTAAGAGAAAATTCTCTCTGTGTACTAGAATTATATAAGATCGGTAGGTTTAGGAAAGAGGAACGGAAAAGGCTGAGCGTGTATTAAGTTTTCGAATTGTAAAGTCTCGTTTCTTGACTGTAAGCCTAAGTAAATAAACTATTATTTATCGATTGACACACTTATAAATGTAGGAGCTTCGAACTGCTTAAAAAAACTAACGTCTAAGAGTCGCTTCTCAGTATGGAAAACCCGTCGTAGACACCGAGATCCGTGAGCGCGGATACCCTCGCGGTATTTTACAAATCGACTATACGTTACCACTGTTGCAAAACGATCAACGGACGGAGCGAGCCACCGACGATCGGGCGATTCCTTCGAATTTCAACTTATTTTTGAATCTGGCGATCGTCCAGATGCATTTTGCTACCGACGCCCGACGTCGCGATGACTGACGACACGTATCGGGTCCCGCTACAGCGAGCTCCCATAAATCGCGGCTTTTATATTTATCGCTAAGTGCTCCCGATCTGCGAGCGCGTTAAGAGCACGTTCGCCGATTTCACCAGCGGAAAAAATCGCGCCGTTACTTATCGACTGGAGCAACGAGGGCGCGTGGACTCCCGGCTCCGTTGATCCGAGATCGTGGAAAAGAAGCCCGCGAGGACAGTGAATTACCGTCACGAATCCGTGACTGTGTTCTTTCGTAATTGATATTTGGCGTTCCCGCGTTTCGTGATCTTTAACGTCCGCGCGATCGTTGCGTAACGAGACAGATACAACGTATAAGCTAAAGTGTTACACATTGCGTCAGCTCGCAAAATAAATTATCGAAGGTGCACCTGTTTTATTCATACACGCCGCAAGAATGGACCTCTCTCGACGTTTAACAATTTCGCTTCCGCGCAATAAAAGTTTGACAGAGACACGCCGCGTCGCATGATCCCGATATCGTTGTTCCAGTATCCGCTCCGTAATGACTTGATTGCTGAGCAAACTAAAAATAATAGTTTCCCGGAAATCCCGTCGCGCGATGTCATTCGATGCCAAGACAAGTATAAGCCTTAATAATCACGTATACCAGCTTTGTGCGAGCGTGCAACTGAAATAGTCCGCGGTTATGAGACAGCGATACGACGCACGATATTTTCGAGGATGGAATAAGCATTCGCTTTCATTGTGCTGCATTATGTAAAAGCTCTGTTCATCGATTGCTCAATAGGGCGCGACAAAAAGACCGCCAATCAGCCGACGTAGACGTTTCATCTGCCGGAACGTTCAGGACGACGCTTTTTTTTATTTATTACTCGCAAGTATTCCACAAGACAGAAGAATTTTCATTTTTAAGGTAGTCATTTCGTAAAATCGTTTATGTGGTTGTTTCAAATTTTTACAGTTTATTCTTTACATTAATATGTGCAAAGTGAGACTAATAAAATTAAAACTGACCGTCTCAAAGTTCTGAAAAAAAATGTTAAAGCTTGCTATGTTACACGAAACATTACGTGCAAAACACGTTAAAAATATTATTACACGTGAAATATTATTTACACATATTATTATGTATTAAAATATTAATATTTGCGTTTGCAGACGCAAATGATGGTACATTCTTTTTTTTAAGCTTAACGGTGAGTGAGATTCGTATGAGAAACAAATGTTATAAAGTAAAATAGAACGACTAACTGGGAAAAGAAATCAAAATTATTGACCGTTTCGTTTCAACAGTATAACCAGTTAAAACTGAAAAATGGGAAGAATTATGTAGTAGACATGAGTGTAGTGTAAGAGATGCGGCAACGGCGCCTCAAATTATAAAATTTCGGATCTATTTTATATTATGTATTAATCGTAAATGTATTCTTGAAAACAACATTGCCTCAAGATACATCATTGTAATAATTGAGTGCTGGTTCTTGTGTGGAAGAAACTTTTGAATATTACTGTCGCAAAACAACTACCTTAAATAACATATCAACGGCATGCGCACCATTTTGCTGCGTATTTAACAAGAAGATGCATCTCGAAAGATCTAATTTACAGACGGACTGATATTTGGTTTTTTTTTTAGAATCGCGCTGTCAACATTTAGACAGGGACGTTGGTGTTGAGTGACCGCCATCGTATATCATCTAGTAGCGATATTTGCGGTTAACTCTCGAGAAACAAATGTGTCCGGCGATCGGACGGTTTTAGCGGATGCGGATGAGCCGTCGCAATCGATATATTTGTTACAAAGTTCTGATTTCGATCGTAGGTCAATATTAGCCTTCGCGATGACGACAGTCGAAGATTGATGGCGCGTAAAGCAACCGTGAACACCGCGTTGTCGATAGAGGAGAAGTTTGACTGTCGGGAAGGACTGGTCGATGCTTCGAGAGATGCACAAGTTTCAAAGTGGCCAACTATTGTAAACAGTAGTCCATAATTCGCTTCATCTTTCTGAATTTTTTAATCGCGCCTTTACAAAGTTTATTTGTTTGGTGTAGTTTGGCCAAGTGAATTTTGTAACATTCGCCAATACGAGAGCAGCGGACACGTCTTTTCTCGAGTTTCGGAAAAACCCGCGCGTCTGCATAATTCATTTAATCGCGTCGTCGATTTTTGTAAACGCTCCCTCGCATTCGCGTTTTCTCACGTCGTCGTTTCAGAGCGAAGAAACGGTAAATCGCGATGTCGAATCGCCACTGCAAAAGTGCCCGTATTTTTCAAGGACGCCGTGCCGAGGAAGTCATTGGTCAGCCTGACGTCAGCGTCGCCCACGGTCTCTGGATGTAGATCAAATTCGATACCTAGAAACTAAAAGGCGAATAGACACATCGTTCTAATACGTCGCGGCGTGAAATCGCTTCTCGTTACCATTGTTGATCGTCCAATTATATTTGCCAACATTTGCCTAAACAGCCTGGATGCTGCGTCCGCTGACGCGTCATTGATTGATGCGCTTCATTAGCTCTGGCACCTACGACCACGTCGTTACATTTAGGGTGCAGTCCCATTAAGGGGATCCTTCAACCATCATTTTTTACCGACACAGTCAAATAATTATGCGCTTGTAATTCTTTTTCTTAGCTTTTGTGCACGAAATAATACCACGATAAGTTGCGGACCGCATAGCAGAACATTTTCATACTTAAAACACTCATTTCAGAAGTTTAATAAAAAAGATATTGGTATTTGAAAGTTTGATCAATTCGTAGTTCTAACTAAATTTGAAATTGGCTTTATAAAATTACAAAATTCTTCCACACGATTAAAGTACGCGAAACCAGGGACAGTCAACTTTATATAAAAAAAGAAAAGAAATTAAAAATATCACTTTATAAATGATTGAGGTTAGCTAGCTTCAGTCACGTACGACTGTCCCTGGTTTTGTCTTTATGCATACTTTAATTGTGTGGAAGAATTTTGCAATTTTATGAAGCCAATTTCAAATTTTTAGTTAGAACTACGAATTGAAACTTTCAAATACCAATATTGTTTCATTAGACTACTGAACTGAATGTTTTAAGTATGGAAATGTTCTGTTATGCGGTTCGCAAACTTATCCTGGTATTATTTTGTGCATAAAAGCTAATAAAAAGAATTACAAGAGCGAAAACTATATTTGACTGTGTCGGTAAAAAAGATGGCTGAAGGATCCCCTCAAATCCGGATTAGAATAACGGATCGGATTTCTCACTAGAATTGAGCGCGGTCCGTTCCAGTTCCGTTTCGTGAAAGTTTTCTCTATCAGTTCCGTGTAGCAAAAACGGAACGAAATGTCGTATCGGTCGCAGGTAAATGTGTTTGATTTGTCGATATTTCGTTATTTTGATGCGACTGAAACATACGTAATTTGTGCAGTAATCTTGCCAATAACATTGTAAGTACTTTAAAAGATTGAATTGTAAGAATAACATATAGTTTGTAACCATATTCCATTCTGCTTTGCTACGTGGGTTAAGAAAATTTTTACGGAACGGAACTGGAACGGACCGCTCAATTCTAATGGGACTGCACCCTTATTCCTCGTGGGGCTACACTGATAGACTTTTGGGAAAATTTACTTTTAATGAAATTAAAGTTTTTAAAAGTAATCTTTCAAATCTAAGAGTTTACTGAAAGAATTAAGTTAAAAGTTTACTTAAGGACTTTTAGATCGTAATTTTGGACACCTAAGCAGTCTATTTTATCGACATTTTTGTTAAAACTAACCTTTTAATTGGCTTTATAGAAATGCAAAATACTTTTACGGAATTAAAGTACGCAGCAAAATCTAAACTATGCTGGTCGACTTTATATCAAAATCAAAGAAATTAAAAATTTTACTAATTTTTGGTACACGCGACGATAATATTTGCTTGATACAAGAATTTTACGATAAATATATACGAAATGAGACCAGCATACTCTAGAGACAACATATAAGAACAATATTGTGCAATTAGAACTAATTGTAAGATTAATAGCCTAAAAGAAAGATTACTTCTAATAAACGCAAGTTCAGAAATCCAAATCTAGAAGAAGAGAAAAAGAGCAGTATGACGTGTAGAAAAATAGTTGCAGGCTTTTTCGAGAGAGGTCGCAAGAAGAAAACCGCGCGCGGTATTATAAATTCTAAAGTTTTCTATTAAATTCGTAAAGTAATTTTTAAGTTTACCTTAAATAAGGTTTAAAGTGTCCGTTTACTTTCCATAGCTCTTATTTTTCTAAAGTAAAATTCGAAGGTTTTTCTAAAATATATTTTCCCAAGAGGAAACTGGAGGCGAAGCATGCTTTTTTCTTAATAGTCGCGAGGCTGATGTTTATCACAGCGTAACAATGATCAGCATGAGTCATCGACCTACCTTGTAACGCTACTCAAACAAGTCCTTTATTAACCGTTTCCACTCGAGTCCGTGTGACGTGGCAACAACGATTTGACCTTCCCCTAATCTCCGTTTCTAAGTTTCTTTTCTTTTTCACCCGGGATGCGACACCGGCTTTCAACGGATTTGCCGAATGGCGCGATAATCTTTATGCTCTCACGACCAAAGAGAGACTTTCCGCGGCGCAGCCGTGTGAAAAGCCGCGGGATTTATCCGCGCCGTTTTATGTCTCCCCGCGTGCAAGTGCCTGCACCTCTCATGACTCGCGCGCGTAACGTTTTCCGCGTGTGCGTGCGCCGCGATGATTGCCCGAACACACGAGACACAGGGCGAAAAGTGTACACGCGCGCGTGTGGCTAATCGGCAGGTTCCCAGGGAGCACGAAGGTCTCACTCGGTGTTTTCAGCGGCGACTCGACTCCGCGAACGGTCCCACGGCGACTTCCGGTTCCGCGCCGACTTAGCCACTTCCCGCTGCCACGACAATTTTCCGCGGGTACCACGCAGAAGCGCTGCAAAAAAAAAGAGAAAAAGTAACAACATTGTTATGCGCACGCACAGGTCACGGTTCGCTCCTCCGCGCGAGAGTGGATTCAACGTTTCAGTGTTTTATCGTCCGCCGTTAATTAATGCGCGCCGCATTAATTATACAGGTGAGATCTCGCGTTATGAATTATGAATGAATGCAGTCGCGAAATGTTATTCACGGTAAAAAAAAAAGAGAAGGTACAATCGGGCGAAAATATCTTTAACAATCGTCCGCTCGCGCGGAGGACTATTGCTAGTTCGGAGGTGCGCGAACCTCCGAGGAATTTAGCGCAGAAATGAGACGTTACGCGCTTTCCCTTCCACTCCGTTTATATCGTGCTCGGCGCGGCGCAGGTGCTCACCTGGAGAGTCAGGATGCAGCCAGGCCTGTCTGTTCGTTTGTCTGACCGTCGTGCAGCTCAACCTGAAACCGGAAGCGCCGCTTTCTGCCCTGCTGCCCACGAACAATGAGATCGAGAGAGATTCCTGAGAGGACGTGAGCACGATCGAACCGCGAGAGGTGTTTTATCAACGGCGGTCATCGAAAATATTCATTTCTCCGGCTGAAAACCTACGAATTGAAACGTCACGTCTAGCTGTACAAGCGGCGCTGTATTCAGAAACGCACTCTTCCTCCTCCTGTTTTGTTTAAAAGCTCAACGAGAAAAGTCAGGAGACCCAGGTTGCGGTCAAGCCGCCGCTACAAATGCTTCCAAGTGTTTCTCTTCTCCTTCCATCTTTTCTGAAGGAAAGGAGAAGATATACTTGGGGACATTTGAACGACAGCTTCATCGCAGTCTTAGGCGTTCTCTTTGCACATAGTTGTCATTCAGTCATGTCTCAGTTGGCGAATTGGTGAGACGCCCTAGAGTGTAGGGAGTAGAGCTGGGACTTTTCTTTGATGATTTTCAATTTCAAAGCTTCGAATCTTTGTAGAAATTTTTCGAGAATTGAAGTTTTCAAATTTTTCGAAGCCTCGAAGTTGCGAAGCTTCGAATAATTAAGACCACTGCTAGGGCGGTCCAGGTTCACATCCTGGCTGAAGTAATGTTTCTCGCGATGAATTTCTTTAACTAAAATGTGTCGATTATTAATTCCCCACATTGGTCAATTGTTCACTGGCGACAATAAGTCTTCATTCTTGTTGTCGTTCAAATTCTTCTCGCCTTGTAAATAATAAGAATTTCCGATTCGGCTAATATTTTAAAACTTTTTTCGCTTCGCTCTATCTGTAATGTCGCCTTCAGGTATGTCCGATGAGGAAATAATCCTTACGAAAATTCTCTATGTCAGATAGACGCGTCGCGATATCGTACATACAATGCGGCACGGTGACAATCGAGAAAATCTTTTCACGGCCACCAGCAAGTCACGTGGTGCGCGTACGTGCAGCAACAGGTGTGACGCAACAGGTAATCAAATGCCGGCATTACGATTTACTCTTCGTCGAATCGATTGTCTTTCCGTGCCTGTTCGCAATTCGAGATTACCATCCCCTGCGCATTATTCCTCGACGCACCGAAAGAAAATTTTCTTGCGACTGCGGCAACAATTTTCTAGGCACGAAAAAAATAACCGAGATACATACATGAATGAATACTGCGAAATCGCGGGTGTTTTAATCAATTTAAGTAACAGAAACAGAATTTTGATCTCAACTGTTATCGAATGTTACGAAGAAAGTCTTTCTGTGGCGCCCATCCGTTATAACATTTTATTGTAGTACGTAAACGGTTGTATTCCTTGCAAAGATTGTTCCGAAATTTATTTTCATTCAATGCGAATGAGTAATATTTAGTCACGAAACCTTAACTTGCCAGAAGGTACATGGAGAAAATTTTCTCCTAAAATTTCCCCTGAAAATATTGTAATCGTGGGACGACACGGCAATTTCAAAAAATTCTATGAGAATTTTATGAAATTTTAATAAAATGTATGATAAACGTTCCAAAAGCCCTCAAAGTTCTTCAAAGTGCCGTGTGGTCCCATGATTACACAATTTTTAGGGTAAATTTTAAGAGCAAATTCTCCGCGTATTACTGGAATGTTGCTGCTGTAAAGTTTGCTACAAACAATTTTCTAACAGATACAAAAAATAGCGATAATGTTTTATCGCGACACCTAGAAATCTACCTGCGTTAGTAGGATATTTTTTTCAGTACGCGGATCGTTTTAACGAGGAATGCGACGAGCTTACCTGCATTTAGAAAGTCATCGCTCTGGCTTTTTAGTCTCGTGCAAACTTACTCAATATATTTCTTTACGTGAAACAAATATGACGTGAAAATCGTGAGGGTTGTCGACGAAATTCTTGTCAAGCTGTTATCGTGAACTGGATGTACGCGAATAAATATGAATAAATATTATCGCGCGTGAAAAGTCGACGCTACACGGCGTGCCGAGCTGTTCGCGAAGCGAGTTTCGAGCAAAAGTTCACCAGAGTTCCTCGAGATATATTTTGCTCCCTTCCGATATTGCCGATTCCGCATACAGGAGAGACTGAGAATCCCTTACGGAGACGTCGACGCTTTTTCCGCGAGGCTCCGGCGAGCGATGATGATGAAGAGTGCGCATTTACCTGCCGTAGCCGCGCGACAGGTGGTGTGTGACACGACTTAAGCCGCGTCGCGAATCTGCCTGAGGACCTTGACGCGGCCTTTTTTCGCGGACATTTTCTACTTCTGCCTTCGCAAAGTCCGTTTCCGGTTGGCTCTGCCTCCCCGTTACGCTCCTCTCCTCGCGTCCCGTCCTGTCGTCGCCGTTCGCCGCGGCGCGCCGCGACGAAACGGGCATTTCGCTCGGCAAATGCGCCTCCCCGTGACTCTCATCCGCGACGCTTTGCGGCGTGTTCTTGCACAGGAGGAGGTCGTTGCTCGTTGCCAGGCGGTTGCTTGCCACGTGTATACACGGCGCCTCCGCGGCTCGCGGGAAATAAAGAGAATAGGGGCGGGCTGCGCCGGTCTCGCGATGGTTGCACGAAATGGAATTTCAAGCGAATGCATTTACTTACGACAAATGTGAATTTAATTCGTAAATGACTCCATTATCTGGATATGCGAAAAATTCGGGCGGTTTTAGAAATTTAGAATTTATATTATGTACTTAAAGAATAACACAATAAATTATTCAAGTTAATATTACGATTTGCAATCGGAATCATGTTGGATTGAGTTTATTTAGCCCTTTCTTCGCTGAATTCATTGTTTATTTCTAAGATTTTGTTGACGCGATGTGGTTTTTAGTAAATAAAAGTGCACGTTGAATCATTGAACCTTTTCAAAGTTTTGCAAATGGGACTTGTATGTCCCAGTCGTCACGAAAGAGTTAAATCAGTAATGATTTATGTAGTGATGACGGAAACTTGCTTGGAAATCGATTGTGAAAAATTATGCGAAGTGGTGCACGGTTTTTTTCAGTTTCTTTCAAAATTTCCCTAGCGGAAAACATTTCTATAAATAACTACAAAAAATTGACTTGAAATAGAAATTTGTAGAAATTTTTATATCTTCGTTGAAACATTAATTTTTTGTAAAAATATCTCTGAAAGAGCACCATAAATTACAATGTTCTCAAATCAAGAAATTATTGCAAGTAGTATTTCATGAAAGTGTACAATTTTGTAAAAATTAGCACAAAACTTTACTAGTTATAAAAATTTGGGGAACAACAAAATCTTAAAGAATTAAAACATCTGCTTACATGTAGAATATTACAAAAATGAACAAGTGTTACAATTCTAGCATTTTCATGTTGATTTTTATAACAATTTTTTAATTTACGTAGAATTTCTTAGATTCTGATAGTAAATTTAATTTTTTTTGTAAAATTTTCTAGAATCATTTCCGGCAGGCTTATCCTGAAAATCATACTATTGTGGGACAACACGGTATTTCGAAGAATTTTATGAGTTTTTTTAAATTTTACTAGTTAAAGCGTACGTTATTCAGGTTAAACAAATGAGATACTTTGAAATCCCGTTTCTTTGAATCTACTAAATGTTTATTTGTTTCCACAAAAACATTTGTTGCATTTAGAAGAAATAGATACGAACTCTTTTCAAGATTCCAGCCTCTATCAAATAAAATTGTGGTTAAGGTAAAGAAATCATTTCTGTGAAATTAAATAAAAACCTCGCAAGGTCAAAATTCAAAGAAAATTTGTTTCATTTCGAAGAAACTTTTTTCTGGGTGTATGATAAAATTAAAAAAAACTCTCATAAAGTCATATGCGAGACGAAGTCCAGGTTCAAACCCTGGCTGAGGTAATATTTTTCGCAATAAACTTCTTTAATTAGAATTTGCCAGTTAGCACCGTTTAGTAATTTTTCTACATTGGTTAATGGCGTACTGGCGTCAAATAATTCTTTACGTTATTTAAAAATTAAAATCGTTTAGACACTAACATCCTGTCTTGGCTCTCATATTCTTTATTACTTCGCGTATGTGATCTCATGAAGTCGTTCAAGATGCCACGTTGTCCCGCGATAACGTGATTTTCAGGATAAATTTTAAGAGAACATTCTCTTCGCGTAGTACTGTCTACAAATTACATATACGTACATCTCTGCAAAGAGGAGCAGAACAATTCTTGTCTCACGTGTAACTGGCAGGAGAACCATGGTGGAGCGGGCGACGTTGGCGATCGGTCCATGTAAGTTTCTCCAATACACACGTGTTTGATGTTTATAAACTGATAGCCGGCGTCGGTGGACGTTTTAATGCCAACGGGAGTAATGATACGCGTGCAGCAGAGAATATGATTTCCTAGGCTTATCGCGCGGTGAGGCCGGACGCTGTGTATGACACGGGAGCTCCACGGGCCTATTGCTTAAATCCCCCGTGAATTCTTCCAGTGCCATTTACAGAATCCAAGCCGATAGATGAGCCAGCCAGGAAAGTCATACGAGGAATTCCCATCCTGGTTGCGCCTCGCTGAAACCCTGACAAAGAGGCTTCGAGAGGTAATAATCGATACCAGCCGGCCTTCGAGAAACGGTATGTCGCAACGTTCTCCAGATGCACACGCACGATCGATAGAAGTCGCTCCACCGAGACTTAATCTTCACCGACGACGATTACAATATTCTAAATATCGAGAGTTATTTTCTATCCTACGGCCATTGTCGTTTCGCATTGAAAGACAAGTCCAGAATAAATCAAAGCGCGAAGATGTGGTGGCGTGATAAAGACCGCGAGCGTTGAACGATCGTAACGAAACGATACAAAGGCCATTAATCTCGGTATACAATTATGACAGCGGAAATAGATTCCGGTATTAATGGGCCGATAGCCCGGAGTTTACTTTGAGAATTTCGAATCATAAATCACGGGAAACCGGAACGGGGTCAACTCGATTTGTCTCCGCGAAAAAGAACAGCACTTGAAAAAAAAAACGAAATTAGGAACGGGGGGGGGTTTGACGAAGCGGAGGCCAAGCGGAGCTGTTTCTTTTCCCCTTCTTCTTCTTCCGTCACGGATCGATGACTCTTCCCGGAAGCCGCGTCTGCTGGATCTCGCGGAGCGCGCCATGATTTGTTCTCCAGGCGTTCTCCACGCTCGTCCTTCAAACTCCACGTCTCGTCTCGAGTCTCTCCTTCTTTCTTGATCTCCGCTCGCTCCTCGATTTGCTCGCTTCCACCCACAAAATCGTTCCCACCGATTCCTCGGGTTCGACCAGAGCTACGTTGTCGAGTTTTTCACCCGTTAGGATATGCTATCCTTCCTATCCACTCTGCCTTCCCGCAGGCTATAATCTAGTCAAGTATCCATCTATCTACTCTCGTCTCTCCCCAGTCACCTCTACAATGTATCAGAAATCACGCAGTATCCTTCAGTTACGAGCGTCCTCGCAAGCTTTTTTAATAAATTTCAAGTAAACTTTTCCACAGTGAAAAATTTCCGCCAACAAAAGCCCGATTTTAAGCTTAAGGGGATCCTAAAGCCGTCTGTTTTATCGACATTTTTTGTTAGAAGTAATCTTTTAATTAGCTTTATAAAACTGCAAAACTCTTTTACGGAATTAAAGCACGCAGCAATATCTAGACTATACTGGTCGACTTTATATCAAATTGATTGGCTACAAATTTCTCGGACCGAGCAGGATTTGGAATTAAAAATGTCGCTAATTGACTCCGATCTTATCGACATCGATCGAGTTCGCCAGCGGCTTTAGGATCCCCCGCAGTGCATTGGCTAAACGTTGGTCCAATACAACCAAATATTGGGCCAATGTTTAACCAATGTTTGGTCAGTGCATTGTGCTACCAGGAATATCTTGCCGCGAATGTTTTATTAGACGTCGAAACAATGAGTGCATTCCGGCAAGACACTGCTACCGTAGCGCTACAGCTTCTGTCGCTACAATTGTAGCAACGCCATACTTCCATTAGCGTACATAACCTCAAAATTGTATTTTAATTGTAACCCAGCAAATACCAAAGTAACAGTTACATAACATCAATATAAATGTAATATAACACATGCCTGTTATATTACATTTGCATTGATGTTATGTAATTGTTACTTTGGTGTTTGCTGGGAAGAGTCGCGTTTACCAATTAAGTTCCTAGCAATCCTTGAGCAATTACGAAAAATGGCGACCGCTACGGTTGTAGCGGAAAGTTTTGCCGAACGCACTCAATACCTCTTATAATTGTCTCACTTCGAGTAATCGATTACTGACAATCGAGGAAGTAGTAAAAAACTAACGCCTTGGTTACCGATCTTTTACATCGCGAGTTCCCAATCCCCTTTTCTTACCTCTAATGAATCTTGTAGTCGAGCGCAGTTACAGCGCAGCTGGATTTAATTCGTTTCACGCCGATTAAGACAAAATCGATCCACGACCGGCGAAAATGATCGAGATGAGGTTCACGGAGAAATCGATTTTGCGCACAACGCGGCGCAATAATTTACTTATGGAACGAAAGATCATATATCCGGGGAAGTAACGCGCGTTTCTTCGGGTTTTTCCGCCCGGTTCTCACGATTCGAATCTTCTCAGTGCACCGTGTATACACTCGCGATTCTTCGCCGACTATCTGCAAGTCTCTCAGTTCTCAAGCCATTCTTCCGGTCATGCCATCATTCTGGTTCTCACGGTTTATTCGAACATCAAGAAACGCGGCGCGGAAATCATGGCTGCTCGCAAAAGTCTTTTAATATGCCGCGGTTAAATGCTCTGCACGGCGATTATTACTTAGAACAATCGTCCGATCGCATTTCTCCGTTCAGCCGCGTCGGGTCTGATTTTTGTTGGCTCGTCGACGCGTCTTATCGAGTCTGCACAGTCGTAAGGAAAGAAATGTTAAGTGTGTCAGCCGGAGTTATTCGTCCAAGTCATTCGATGATTGATACGTGTTTTCCGGCGCGTTTCTTTCACAAAACTACGGCCGTTAGAAAATCATTTATTCCTAGAGTATTTTGTGTGCGTATCTCTATTGCGATAAAAAGAAGTTTTGTAATTAAATTTAAGAGAGAATTTTATGTACATATTTAAACATTTTATGTTTTGCACGATATAATTTTATAAGTGGAGCGAATTTTAGTGAGAAATTAACATTATTAATTTTCACGTAATATCAATAACATGAAAGATATTATCGAAATTGTGAGTATTATTTTCACCGCGGTCAAGTTAACTACAATAGATGGCCGTGGGTTTCTTCTTAATGTATGCAAAACCCGTCCGTTGGAATCAGACGCAAAATTTGTGCAGGCCTCGCAAATTGAGACGCAATGGTTGTGCTATCGGGCCAACGGGGTCCGTTGATTTGTGTAAATCAAGATACACAATGGTTGCGAAAACACAAACGCGTGTCTCGGGCGTGTTTAAGCCCCCATTTCGCGATCTCGTAACTCTTCGAACAGGTTTCGTGTGACCTCGACTTCTCTTCTCGTTGGAATGCCCGCTTCTCTTCGTCTTTCCTCCACGATCCGTGCCACGATCCGCCGTGCGATCCCAATCGCTCTTCCGTGTTTCGATCGGCGCACGATGATGAATCTGTATCGAAGGCACGTGATTAAAGAGGAAATCATCCCGATGTCGACGGTCGTGTTCGTGGTTTCTTCATCGCCGAATTACCTCATTAATTTACATTCGCCGACCATCAATACCGGCGATCGACAGCGGAATATTGATTGCGTGCAAATATTATGTTAGCGCGATACTCGCGTCCCGCGAGACAAAATAAATAATCAAGAGCGAGATCTTTGTATCGCGGTAGAAGTCGACTGCTTTCTAATCCATCGCCATTTTTCTCCATCTATTTTATTTTTATCGGAGAGAAATTCAGTGTTGGCGCGTTTCAAGACCTGGCACGTGAAAGAACGGTTTTACGTCTGCGAATTCGTGCGATGCGCGAGAATTGCGGGGAAAAAATTCAAGCGAGCAAAAAGCTTTCCTTCTCAGATTAGAGACTGGCACCGCGGTGCCGTGACGAAAGGATTTCAGAGTGACGCAACGATATCTAGGACGAGAGAATAGATGAATGGAGAGGGAGGAGATAATTGGTGGGGTGGGTGGGGTGAAGCTGTGAAACAATAAAATATCAAACGTTCCCTGGGACGAAGGTCCCGGGCGCTCCGCGCGCGTGACTTTCGAAATCTTATTAAATCATGGCGCGGATCGCGCTGTTACAAACGAACAATATCACTGCGAGAGCGAGAGCCGATAAATTGCGGTGTGCATTTGCATATTTGCAAAAGTGACATACGCGATGGGCTAAAGGCCAGAAAGCCCGCGCTTATAATTTCGCTCGGTACGCGTTCTCGTGCCGCACGCGGAGTTATGTAATTTCTAACGACTCGCGTTCTCTCTGTTACGCGGCGAAGAAAGAGAGACGTTCGCGCGAGATTATTCGCGCAGAGCCTCTTAAGCCGCTCTCGTACGATAAGTTCTCGATAACCGCAACGCCGCGTTTCATGCGTTGAAGCCATTTGTAATTCGTGCTATCGCGCGCGCACGAGGCATCGAGGATCCGTCTGGTCGCAGCGAAAAACGTACTTCTGGATTTACGTAATCGCGGTTGAGGGAAAAAGCGGCGATTGCTCGTCGTTAAGCTTATTCTACGACGGACGCAAAACGCAAGACGCTAAGACGCGACGCGAGAAATCGACCAATCGCAGTCAAATGTGAGAGGAACGATCGACTGTCATTGGCCGACTTCTCGCGTCGCGGCTTAGCGTCTTGCGTTTTGCGTCCGTTGTAAAATAACGAGAGTTCGACGAGAGATGGGCCAGCGTCAACGCGCGACCATTCTTTTACCCGACGATGACTCCATTCTCATTCCGCGATTTCTCGGCGTCGACGTTTTTCGCGCTCCGAGGTCGGAGCCGGCGGATAACGGTCACCGGTACCGGAGGACACTGACCCGATGAAAATCTCGGATACGCAAGAAAGAGAAACCGTTGGGAACGTGCCCCTTCGCGGGGCACCAAAGAAATAGATTTCACCGGCGATCGTTACAAGCGATAATAAAAACATCGGGACATTTAAACGGGATATACGTTTCTAGCCGCCAGCGACGTAACGTGAGAACCGCGCTACGATTCCGTCCCGATCTGGAGAAATAATCGTGCCAAGTTTTACTCCGGGCGCGTGAAAAATGACTTGCAAACACGCGACTCGTTAGGGCGCCCGCTCAAATGCCTCCGCGTCAACTTTTGCCTCGCAGCCGCGAAGTTACGCCAACTGCCGATCGTGTCTCGATCTAAAAGTGATAAAGACGTCGATCGGATCTAATCAATTTCCCCGTCTTAATAATATCCGTCCGTCGATTACCCACGTTCTCCCGCTCTCGCTACACCGAGTGAGAATATACCTGATGCTGATCGGTATCGCTAACCGTCCTCTTCCCTACAATCCTCTTCAGATCGATCATTTTCTCTCGTTTCGCAAGTGCGTGCTGCTACGAGAAGCTGGTGAAAATTTCACTCTTGCCCGGGCCATCGTCGTCGTTCACATCAGAGTCTCTCGTAGTTGGCGCCAAATACAACGCGATCTCGGCGGTGGTGATAATTGACGCGGTGGATTCGCTTCTTCCGTACGTGATACAGCTCGCGCACTAATATCCGACAGGCACAAACGACACGGCGGAGAGATACGCGCGCGGAAGAGAAAAGAAGAGAAGAGACGATGAACGAAGAAGAAGACGAATCGAGGACGAGAGGAGGAAGAGTTGTGCGCGTATGTGTACGCAATGAAAGGCGGTAGAGGTACGAGGAGGAAAGGCTTTTGCGTAAAGTCGAATGCGAGTGCGCGGAGGCCGAGAGGACTCCGAACCGGTTGCTCGAAGTGACGTGAGTGAACTGAGGCTACAGGCTGGCAGGTAACGCCAGGTAAACCCCGGCCGACTGGTGGCACACACGCGGGAGAAGAGGAAGGTGGCCGGCTGGGTGGCTACACCGGCAAAGCCAGCTAGCCAGCCAGCCGTAGAGACAGTCAGCTCGGTCAGTCGACCTGGGGAGTCAGCCTGAGGCCCCAGGGGCCGCAGGAAAGACGCGCTGTTGGGACGGAGAGGGACCGTGGGACGTAGGACGGCGGTGGCGGGGAAAAGATGAGAGGAAACAAGGGGGGGGAGGGTGTGGGGACCACGCGGGGCCCGGAGGGAACGTTGCCTCGTGTTGTGGTGGGACAGGGAGGAAAGGTGGGAGCGGCAAGGAGAGACCTGGTGTGCTGCGTGTGACTCAGCTCGGAATGAGCGAATAGGCCAACAGCACACGGCAAAGACTGCGCCGCAAAAGTTGTATACGGGATACACACGTACAGAGTGTTCCAGAAGAGATGGTATCCTGGTCGTCGCTGTTTTCCGGTATCGTCACCGCGTAGCGGCGATCGGGAGTCCCGCGCGCAATTAACGATGTAATCATTAGCGATTTAAGCTTACGCAATCAGAGACGGAGTATGTTGACTCGCGATTGGGCTGTAACGACCACGCGTGTAACGACGACGCGAAAGAAGCATTGTCTCGATGATAACAATGGTTTTCCTCCGAACGCGCCATTCGCGGACGTAAGGGCCGAATCAGACTAGCGATTGTCGGCGCGGATTGGATTAGAATTGGCGATTGGCGATTGTCCTCTAACAAATGAGAGCAAAGCGGCGATTTAATCGACTCTTATTGGTTAGAGGGCAATCGCCAATCGCCAATCGCCAATTCCAATCCCAATCCAATCCGAGCCGGCAATCGCTAGTCTGATTCGGCCTTAAGGAAATGTCTTTAGGAGAGAAACGGGGAAACACGTTGGACTCCAAGGGCCGCCGAACGGAATTTAATGCCGTTCGCGGTTATGTTAATATTGTGGATAATCTCCTCGCTAATGATTTTATACGCGCGCCGAATCGTAACACGGTATGGTTTACACCCTGATTACACGTGCGTCGTGGGAATAAGTTTTCACGGTTTATTTAATAACGTTCACGCTGCGCAATTTTATGCCTGTACGGGTAATAAAATCCCCCGAGCGCGTGATTGCGGCCAGACGAACTTATTTCTCCTACGAACCTCGGGACTCGCGGAAATGAACAATGGTCGTTGGCGATACACACCGCTCTGCGAACGAATAAGCGCATCCTCTTTATCGCGCGCCGCTACCTCCGCGTACCGCAATCTTTTAGAAGCGTACAAACACGCGAGAAAAGTGGCCCGGCGATACCTTCCGAGGCGGAACGAATCTCGAATTCTCGGTCAAAGTGCTCGGTCAGACGTAATTGGGCAAAAATCGCTCGGCCCTCGGGTCAACGAAACTGACCACCCGGTATATCGGATACTAACTATACCTGGATCCAGCAGAGCGTGACTTTTCACGTGTAGTCGCGCTGGAGTGGGGCCCGTGACCGTATCCTAGTGTAGAGCAAGATAGACTTTGATAGAATTTACACGGCGGCTTCTGCGTGCCAAGAACCTCTAGGAATCATACGAGAACCATAATGAACACGAATTACGACGGGCAATCCTTCATTTTTTTTTCCTTCTTCTCTGTCTTTCTGAGCACAACCGTCTTGACGTATCTATTTGACGAAGGAAGAGACAACGCCGTTTACGCACATCGTCCCACGGACATGGCGGACGTTATTTCAATCAAAAAGATCATCATTAAGCGTCGCCAATGCAACATTATACCGTTTTCTTTATTTCTTGGCTGAACAAAGGCGCGACGCGACGGACAGGCGGGTCCATTTGTCAATTTCGCTAATACATTTATACCGACAATAATTACTTCGGTAATTGTCACGTGTGGTTTATATTCCTTAAAGGTCTACGTCCAGAAAAAAGATCTATTTAGGTTAAACAAATGAGGTGCGTTGTGATATCATATTTCTTTGAATTAGTTAAATTTTTATCTACTTCTATTAAATCGTTTGCTAGATTTACAGAAATAGATGTGAATTCTCTTAGAGATTGCAGTCTTAATCAAATAAAGTTTTGGTTAAGGTAAAGAAATCATTTCTTTGAAATTAAATAAAAGTCTAGTAGGATCCAAATTCAAAGAAAACTTTTTTCATTTTGAAGAAACTTGTTTCTGGATGTAGGCTGACTAGCGCAATAAATTCCAGGTTATAAACGCTAGACGTTAAAGAAGAAATAGCAAAAGTTTTCTTCAATTTAGAAACACACGTTGTCTAAGAGTTAATCTTTTGTGCTATGTCAAGTTGTGAATTCGGTAGCCTGCCATCCTTGCCAGAAATAATTCTACAACATTCTACAAAACTATAAAATATAACTGCCAGAATCTATGAAATTCTACGTAAATTTAAAAAGTGTTATAAAAATCAACATGAAACTGCTAGAATTGGAACACTCTTGTTCATTTTTGTAATATTCTACAAGTAAGCAGATGTTTTAATTCCTTAAGACTTTGTTGTTTCTCAAAATTTTTAAACTAGTAAAGTTCTGTGCTAATTTTTACAAAGTTGTATATTTTCATATACAGGGTGGGCCATTTTAATTTATACAGTCGATTTTTTAAAAAACTAAAAGAGATATGAAAAAATGTTTCAGACAAAAGTTGTAT